TCATTACCCATTCAAGCCGTCTCCAACCATTACTAGTCTCAAAGTGGGTTCCTCATCATCGAATTTAAAAAAACCAAGTGTTCCCTAAGTGTTATTGAGTTTCAGAAATTTGGGTGTTAAAAAAAAAAGAATTCACATAGCTTTCAAACATGCATTTTAGAACACTAAAAACATATAACAGTCACTAAAATATAATATCCCAAAACTACTATTATTAAACTGATTACCTAAGTAAGTTATAAAAACATTAAACTAAATTATTATCATACAGAGTAGAAACATTTTATTACCACAAACCAAATATCCCTGTACACTAATAGTTTATAGTGCCAAAACTGAATGAAGGCATGCAAGTATGTATGTAAAGAAGTATCTGCTCTTTCTATTGGCTACAAACATGTTCGTCAGCTGCGTAAGCTTCATTAGCAAATAATCTTGAAAGTCAGGGAAAGAGGGGAGAAGTTCTTCTGGTAGGTGTGACAAATTTATTGATATCTCAGCAAATTGGAAAGGTTCTCAATTTGAGATTTTTACTTGTAATTATATACAGTTTGTGTTTCTAATAGGTTGGATACTGCAGCAGCCTGTTTTGGATGTTAGAAAATTCTGAAGCGGTGAAATCGTGGCTCAGATGCATCGTGTGACAAAGAAAAAGGATGATTGAGAATTTTTTTAAACATTTCTTTTTAAAATTAAGAAGATAAAGCTTCAATAATGTACAAGTTTGGTTTTACAAACAACAGTTTTATGTCATGTTTATTCATAAACAATGATGATAAAGTTATTTTATTAAATTTTGAATGTAACACTGTAAAAGGTCACGATATGTGCAAACGAGCCATACTTGAATGTGTAGAATTAATAGAATCCTAAGTACCTTATACTGGTATAGGGGTCAGCAAAGGTAGACCTTGTACTTGTTAACATACAAACATATGTATAAACAGGGTGGGGGAAAAGTGGATATATAGTTGTTTCACTTAAACAAAATTTAATTTTGAACTATTATTTTGAAACAAACAATAATTATATTGAATTTAACCATCTTCAGGGTTTTTCTTTAGTGGCAATTGTATAGTAGCTTTTGCCCCACCATTTATAACTATAATTAGGTTTACGAACAAAAATGCAAAGGTGGTAAAGAAATTGAAACTTTTGGAGATAACTTGCCTAAAAAAAATAATTAAAAAAAATTTCTTTGTGATGTTGTAACCAAATGTTACTTTTCAAGAGAGGAACAAGTGTTTATTTGAAAAATCACCAAGAAAATGTAAATACTATGAAGTGCTGATTGGAGTAGCTTAGAAATTTTTTTTTATGAGGAAAAAATGAGCATAAATTCCAGAATAAGGTTATATTTAGTTTACTCATCGCTTCATTTCTACAGCTTATTAAGGAGCAACCTACTACTTACATTGCTAGACTCAGAATGCACTAACAGACTACACTTTTGAATTTCTTCTATTGACCAACAGAGGGTACAGAACAAAGTCACATGGATAATGTTGTTTACATAAAAAAAAAATCGTACAACAATATCAATGTCTAAAAACACAAATGTAGGTGTTCAGCCTAAAATTACAGTGAAAAACCTTTTGAATATTAACAGAAAAAAGATACAGAGAATAAAATAAACACATGTAAAATTTATTTGAAGAGTTAAGTTAACTAGAGGAGAATAGACAAAGATCTATAGTCACAATGCTCATCCTGTGTCATGATTAATTTGTGGCTTAAATTTCAAAAAAGTAAAGTTTCATTATATTTGTCATAAAAAAAATCATTAGCTATAACAAAGAGTTTTATTTGTAAAGGAAAGTCAGATGATGGTATAACACGTGTTTCTACATAGTGATCCACTATAGCATTAGCATCTTTGTTGAGTTAATTTAGATCTCTTGTGTGTTAACAAATCTGTTGTTTAATGCACAAAACATTTTTCTAATGCAAAATTCACTGCATATTCTATATTTTATAAATAACATTTTTTTATTGTATATTTATTTCTCTGCCCTTGCATCTTTAGTGAAACACTTCCTTTTTCTTAACCAGATAAGGAGAATGCATTAATATTTGTTTTAAGGTTATGCCTGGTTTTTGCAGAAGTTTCCTGGATGTTCTTCTTGATTGTTTGTAAACTTACAATAAGTCTATACAAAAAAGCTCTAAGCTCAGAAATAAGTATAATCTTGTTTTGCACTACTAAGTGGACTTTGTTAAAAATTTTCATTTAGCACTACAGATCTTTCAGACCTCAATTACAGTGTCAGTTAATTTTTATGCTGTTTAAAGTTCTTAACTATTTTTGCTTTTGGCTGGCATCAAGAGAAACAAATTCTAGTAGTAATAACAGAATGAAACTGAAGTATATAATAATATTAATTAAAGATTACACTATAAGATTTAATCCGTCAATTTAAAGCAATCATGTTAGAAGATCTTACCAGAAGGCATGAGTTCCAAAACCAAGAGTGGATAAGCTATATTAGAGCATCCAACATCATTTTCACAATACTTGTAGCACTCTTCTGCTGTAACACAAGCTACCTGATCTATATGAAAATAAGAATAAAATACAGAACCTGACAAATGGATATTTATTGTGCAGCAAAAACTAATGCAATTTCTTGGATATTAAAAAAAAACATTATAAGTTTCAACATATCCTAGGTAACTCTGAGAGCTAGTTTTAACTAGTACCTGTATAACCAATATGAATATGTTTAAATAATTCAGTTATTTTAGTTGTGTCAAAACTACTTTCCTCTAACATAAACATTAATTTTTTTGGCCATGTAAGTTTGTTTCTAATGTCCATGTAAAAAAAAAAAATAGATTAAAAATCTTAAATAATATTTTCTACAGAAAGTTACACAAAGAGTTATGTGCACATATTCATTTCTCTTTTAGAACTGATAGACTAGAGGGAAGGCACCAAGTCTATAACACCCATTGTCAACTCTTGCCTGACCAAATAATGTGATTGAATCATAGCACACTCATGGCCCCAAAGTGTAGACAAATAGCTCATTTTCATAGTAACACGCCAAAAACCATGACCTCTCAGATTCACAGTGGGCACCCAACACTAGGCCATGTTGTAGGACATGTTTTTAACTTAGACTTTGTATACTAATGTTTCACCAAATATACATTTTGTATCATGCAGTTAGAAGAAGTCAGGAGCAATTTTGTGACAGAGAAACACACTGTTCAGCTTGCCAAGATACTGGCCGAACAGCTGCCCATAGGGTGGAGTTTATGTTAGTTGGAGTATATGACAACTGATTATTGAGTAGCAAGTTTTAGTTACTATCAACCAGTTAATCAGTTAGTTCAGTTCTGAAAATACTGAGTTTATTCCAATGATGAGACAGGGGTGCAAGAAATACCATTTAAGACAAAATTTGCAAGTAGACAAAATTGTTGTGTTTGTATCTAATGTGAACTTAAGTCTATCACTGAGCATTAATTAATATGTATCACAAAATAAAACGTGCTTTGATCTATACCTGACCTTGACACTTTGATCCATAAAACTTCCTCTGAATAGTGCTGTACAAAATCAACACACCAATTTAAATGTTTTTAAGATATAAAATTTTTAATAACACTGTACACTATGACACATCAGCAAAATACAATATAAAAGAAAGGAAAACCTGATACATCTTAGCATAACAATCAATATTATTAATAAACAAATAATCAGGACTTTATCTCAAGATCTTAAAATCACTTGTTTGTGAGAAAGAAATATTCATAGGCCAGTAAATATTCTAGATTCACTGCACACTCTGGCTCAGTCCACTTAATTCTGTAAACTCACCTGTAAAAAGGACTCTACTTATCATTCCTGGAAGGACAATGAAAAATAATGGAAAAACCTTCATAAAACCAGCAAAAATAGTTGCCCCTTGAGCATGAGACAATGATTTTGCTGCAAGTAATCGCTGAACCATCATCTAGAAAGGAGATTGATAACTAATGTAAAAAATGGGTGGAACCTTGAACATATGTACAAAATTAAAATTAACTTTTACCTTTCACACAAATATTATATACTAATGTGAAAGAAACAGTACAATGTTAAAAAGTTACTTGTCAGTAAACTAAAGCTATAATAAATAATAAAACACAAACTGTAATTGAGCTATATTCAGTAAAGAATGTGTTTAATACTGTTAATAACACTTTATTCTTAAATTATTCTATGCTTTACTATCTTTTGGCATCTCATGACATTGTATAAGACCACTCTTAGGCAGTATTGTGTTTATTAATTTCTTTCCTTGTAATATTCCATGTGTCTGGTGTCTAATCATAGCAAAATTACTTTCTTTCCAAGTGAATGGTCTGGTAAACTTGTTATCAATGATTAAAAATGATAATGAAGTGTGAAAAGAAACCATTACAATTCATATTTTATTTAATCCATCAACATATTCTCAGTTATGAAAGATCAGTACTATACATTGCTTGAAGGAAGTAAATTTATTTATTTTTTTGTCTGTAAGACCATTCTTAGGCAGTATTGTGTGCATTTATTAATTTCTTTCCTTGTAATATTTCATCTTTATGGTGTCTAATTATAGCAAAATTACTTTATTTTTGAGTGATTGGTCTGGTAAATTTGTTGACAATGAAGTGTGGAAAGAAACCGCTATTCACATTTTACTTAATCCATCAACACTTTTGAGTTATGAAAGATCACTACTATACATTTCTTCAAGCACAAGGCTCTTGTTTTGGATATTTTATTATTTTAGTCTTCATTTAATATATATTCTGATAACAGTCAAAGTATTTAAGTAGCCATTACTCGTTATAATTCCACAGTAAAAATGTAAAAGCATATGAAAGTTAACATTTTCTTACTCTGAAAATATATTTACAATAGATACTTTTCTCACCCAAAGCTATCTCAATCTTGGCATTCCCTCTGTGCATTGCTAAAAAAATTTCGCTAAAGCACACCTGTCTTTATAACCCATCAGTTTTGTGTCATTTTAGAACATGTTCTGATCATGTGACTACTCTCCACCAATCATACTGTGCCATCTATACTGACACAGCTAGCTCCCTCTACCATTCTAGAACAAACCTAACTTTCGAGAATTGGCAGGCACAAGCCATAAACACCAGCATCACAGTGGGGACGAAGGGTGAGAAGATGTAAGTACCTCACGGAATTTTTATTTTTTTTTTTAAAAAAAGAGATTAAGAAAATGTTAACTTCCAAAATGGTACTACCTCTACTCACTCAAAGCTAGAATCCCACATTGCCAAGGTGGAGGGCTGATGAAGGTGCATCAATTTCAAATAAAGTAGAAGGAGACTGCACTAGAATATGAAAAGAAAGCACATCAGTAGAGTGCAGCACTACTTCTTGAATAGGTATGCTCTTCACCCAGCAATCAATACAGTAACACATTTGGGGCAGAACTGAATAGACAGGCACGACTGAAGCCAATAAAGAGATGTACAGCACAGAATCAGTGTAGGAAGTGATGGATAACTATGACATGAGTTGGTATGGAGTGAACAAACATGGAAAGGCTCATGTGTATGTAACCATTTTCCTTTATATGTATGTGCTAAGGGAAGTGCCTTGGGTTACATTAGAGTATGCCAATTGTGGTCCATCCATGCCAAACATCCAGTGGAAACACCTTGTATAAGATATAGCGATCAACAAGTGTGGTCCGACCAGGCAAAAACATCCAGAGGAATGACCTGATGATGACAAAACCTTGTTAAAACGTTGTACATTTACTGTTATGTTAAACTTATATTAAAGTTTTTCTTCATTACCCATTCAAGCCATCTCCAACCATTATCCAGAGGAAGTGCCTTCGATATGTAGGATTATGAAAGATATAAATTAGTTATGATTGTGATCATGAAAGTCATCAGAACTGACCCTCTGTCCACATCCATGTCATAATGAGTCATTGTAAGAAACAAGACATAGTACTAAACATAGTGATAATGAGTCTTGTATAGTGCCAGTAAATAAGCTACAGAAAAAAACAACAAAATAACAATATGTGGCTAAGGCTTAAGGACTGTGAAAATCTATTTGAACAGGCCAAGTATGGTCCGTCCAGGCAAAAAACATCCAGGGGAAGTGCCTTGGGATGCATCAGATTAAGCCAAGTGTGGTCCATCCAACCAAAAATATCCAGGGAAAGTGCCTTACATAAGATACAGATATCAACAAATGTGGACCACCTGGTCAACACCAAGGGGGGAGCATCTTGGATATGTAGGATAAGGCCAAGTGCAGTCCATCTGGGCAGAACACATCCAGTGGAAATGCCTTGCATAAGAAATATATGAATCAACAAATGTGTTCTGCCTAGGCTAAAACATCCGGGGGAAGCACCTTGGATACTGAATGTTATTGTATAATTCATTGTTCGGTACAGTAATGATTATAAAAACTATAGTCCTCTTCTCACAGAGTGGGTTCACACGGGCTAGAAAGTTCCGTTTCTCCAAAACCCACTCCGGAGAAAAACCCTATATTCCACCACTCCAGTGGACTTTGCTCCACTAGAAGAGAAGAGGGGGGGAATACATACTGGGGAGTCTGTAGGAACAACACACTGAAGACAGTGCAATGGGTGTCTGCAATTCCCTATATTGAAAAGCAGACAGACCCCAAATGCAGGACTAACGAGTCAGTAGGGATGGGCAGAAATTCCAATCTTCTTTACTCATGAGGTCCATGAGTGATGGTCCTTTATAAATGAAACTATTAAATTTTATTAAAATAATATATTACATACATACCACCGGACAAGCTCCAAGTATTCTTACAAAAACACCCCATCTCAACAGTGAGCATTATAGAATTATTCATATCTAGTACAAATATAATATAAAACATATCTGACCAGGCAACACCAGACGGGATCCATAAATACGATATGTAACAACAAAAATTAATAGGAAAGTAATATGTTGACTTACTCCAGTTAAAGGCAAACAGATGTTTGTAGAATCGCCATGAGAGGAAGATGATACCTGCCAGAGGAAGATACAGCCAGGCCATGCAGATAATGTGTGACAAAGTATTGGGAGTTGTAAACATCCCAATCTGAATGATGCCCTCCAAAGGCCAGGAAAGGAAAGCAGCTAAAGACATAATAGTTAGACAACAAATTGGGTATGAAGAAACACTGTGCAGACAGTGACCTTTCATGGACAAGTCAGAATGTGCTAGTCATACGAGTTGATAAACTCAACCAGTGAGTGCAACAGAGGAGAGATCCCAAGACACAGAGGGAATCCTTGGAATGAATAAAAGGGAACAATAACATGAAAGGAGGCAGTATATGTCACATAACATCTCAAGGAAAGAACCAGATAAAGAAGTCTATCCAGAACCGAAAGGGAGTACAGGTGAGAAATGGAAGGTAAGGAACTAGTATAGAATGCCAAACCACCTGCCCAGGTAGCAATGTCTAGGGAAGAAAGACCCAATCAGGATAGAGGATAACACAAGAGGAATGGTAACGGATGAGGGAAACATCAATGGTAGAAATAACAGAACGAAATTAATCACAAGCAAGGAGGAGGAAGAGGACTTAAGGGAAAGATGATAAAAGGAACAAGTAGCAATGAGTTCATATGGAGAACTGGACAAGACACGAAGGACAAAATTGAGATCCAATATGGCAAAACAAAGGGAGGAGGAGGACAGAAAAGATGAAAGAAACAGAAAAGGAATTAACAGGGGAGGAGAAAGCTTCCAGGAAATGGGAAAATCAGAAGGAGCTCGACAGGGCAGCCCTATAACTAGAAACAGCTGGCACGGACAAACCCTGATCAAACAACCAGGCAAAGAACTGGAAAATATGAGATACCAAAGGACGAGAGGGGTGGAAGCCACAGCTAATGGACCAAGGTCTGAAGGTAGAATACCGTCTCTGGTACACAGACAAGGAGGAAGGTCAAATGGAATGGGAAAGGAAGGATATTACATGATGCAAAGGAATGGACAAAAGCCATGCATGAAGAACAAGTTTGGTGACATTGGTTAAGACTTAGGACATAGACTTCTCCAACTGGATTAGAAAATCCCACAGGATTAGCTTCCTGAAGAAATAAGCAGGCTAGATTGACTGATTGTGAAGAGGCGAGCAGGAACCAGTCATCCCTGAAAAGGAGAGTCAGAAGACTCCATGAGTGAAAATGATGGACAAAAGAGCATACATCTCAACAAAACAAACAGAGCCGAAGAAGGACCAAACAGAAGTGCCACCTGGAAGTGGAAGACACGACCATTGTGGATGAACCAAAGAAAATGATGTGACACTGGAGTAGTTGGAATATGCAGATAGGTATCTGTCACAACAATTTGGTCATCTGGAGACCTGGGGAAAAAAAATCCAAGTGAGAGGTATGACTCCACAGTGAAGCAAGATGGCTCCAAATAAGAGTTCAGCTAGGACAGGTCTTATGACAGTTCTCCAATCTCCCATCTTTCAAAAGACAACAATTAGATGGGAGTAAAACCCCAGTTGAGTGGGTACCACCTGTTCAACAGCTCCTTTGTGTAGTAGCTCTTGAACAGACTAGGCAAGATGACTGGAAGAGGTACGACCGAAGGAGGAGAGAAGGAGATAAGGGAAGTAGATAGGGGTGGGGAGCAGATCTGAAGACAGAAAACTTCAGACAGAACCTATACTACCCATGGAACTGTTGTGAAGTGTAGCCAAGATACTTAGAGAAAGTACTTATTACTAATAAAACCTAGACAATGGAAGTCTACAAAGTATATAAAAATAATGAACTTTCAAAACTATAAAATTTGACAATAAGCAATGTCTAAAGTACATAACCACTAAAGGAACTTAGAAGATATAATACATGTAAATAACAAACTTATAAGATGACTCAAAGAACTGATAAGACAAAGGATACAAAAGTAAAACCTACCCTGAAGAATAAGAATGAAAAAGGCACCCAGTTAAGAATAACAAAATTTGACACAAATCTAATCCCCAATGAGATGTGAATAATAGTAAAAAGGAGCTTAGAAACTAACATAAACAATGAAAGGAAGTATAAATAACTAAAACTAAAAAATTAGCTAAAGTTACAATTACCCAAACAGTAACTATCATGCAAAACCTGTACATGTACCGAAAATTAAACATAAACAAAGTAATAATCAAACTCTAAATGCAAATTTAAACTAAAGTAATTTAGATGGTAAAAGAATTATAAAAATCTAACTTACCATATACTATACAGAGAAAACATGAAAGACCTAAATTATCAGTGAGGAAATTAGATCAATCCACACAAGCTCAAATAAACTTGCTAAACATGGGTATACCTACTGGAAGTGAGGAATATATGTTGAAAAACTTACCACAGGTCTCCCGAGAAAAGAACAATACCTAATTCAGGCAGTAGGTGGAAGGTGCTATGGAAATAAATTTACACTCAGTAATTATATCCTTTCTCACAAAAAAATCATAACATGAAAGGAAGAAATCATTAGCTGAACATACGACAGGAACTTCCCACAAATTAAAACCTTTACTTCCCCAGCAGACATCATTGACCCTGAGACCTGGGGACTCGTGTGAGAACCATTGTCAACTGTCTGGGAATTTCATCATCCATATATTAAATCTCAAATTCATATGTAGAGATTAGCATTTGGAAAACAGAAATATTTCAAAAACAAATATGTAGAAACAATAGAATCAAACAAAAGAAGCCGAAACTTGAAGTTGAAACTGATATAAATTTGTGATCAAACACAATCAAAATTTTGTAGTCACATGGAGAAAGAGTTAAAACACATGACTTCACGTTAGAATGCTGATCAAGAAAGTGAGGATTGTTCTAGAATAGTAGAGGGAGTTAACTGCATCAGTATAGATGGCCCAGTACGATTGGTGGAGGGTAATCACATGATCAGCACATGTTCTGAAATTATGCAAAACTGATGGGGTATAAAGACTGGTGAGCTGTGGCTTAGTTTTTTTTGCAAGCCTTGGGTGACAGGAGGTAGTACTGTTTTCGATTACAAATTTTGAAATTTAACTGTTAATTGTTCAATTATATCTTAAAAAGTATAATTACTTATGTTACCAATGGAATAAAAAACAAGTTTCATTAAATCACAAAGAAAAAAATTATATATGGACACACACACACAATAATCTGAAACTATGTGAATGTCCTGATATCCTTTCCTAAACCAAAAAGACAATGTGAACACAAGTATATTTTTTTTCAACACAGTATAATAATGTTTTAGCAATTTTTCTTCTTTGCAATATATACAATATATATTCCATTGCACTTTTATTAGCAAAAGTTAGTAGGAGATTTTCTGTTATATTTATTTTTGTTTATACTTTATATTCCACTAAATCATAATTTCATATTGGATTCTGAGCTTTAGTATAACACAGATCTTGATATTTGTTTCTATGCAAGACATGATCATAGGTTATTGATTTCAAATTTTAAAGTAAGTATGAAAATTTTTCTCAATCTTTGAACAAACACATTCCATAGTTACAGAACTTTACATCAAAAAAAGATAAATTCTGAAAGCCAAGAATCATTGAATTGTGAGTTATTTTCATTCTTTGGTTCTGAAAATCACCATCCATTGAGCTTATTTAAATTGTGGTTTTGAAGATCATATTTATATCGAGATTATAGCAGTCACTATAAAAGTTGAGTTTCTTGCTTCTTTTTTTTTGCTTCGCAGTTTTTGTCCTTAAAAAACAATCATACATACCTGATCAGCACACCAATACCAAACTGAAGCAGGAGTCTGGCCAAGAACAAACCCAAGCCAAGGTAACTCTGGATCATTAATTGCACGTAGCATTTGTAACGAATTTTCTTTAGGCAATCCACATGTTACATTTTCTTTCATGATAGAAGGCACAGCTTGCATGTATTTGAACTGGAGTGCTTGATAGCCACCTACTTCAACAAATGCTGTTAAGTATATTACAAATATATTACATTATACTTCTGACAAAAATGTATTATCATAACTGAGCTATATACACATACAAAACAAAATTGATCCACTTAAACTTAATATATGTAATCAGAACATATTCATAAGGCACATGTTTATATAGAGGCTTTGGGACTTAAATCATGTTAAATGTCAAAAAGTAAATTTTTTTTATTTTATCACCTTTGCATTTTTCTATTATATAGATAGTTAGATACCTTATCACTTGTTATAAATATATATACATATACACACATATATATATATATATATATATAACAACCAATCACATTTGAAAAATGCTAATGTTAAAGTTCATCTGTATATAAGACGTTGACAAAATTAGTAATTGCAAATTTCTACCCGCAAATACACATGATGTATGGTACAACAACATGTGTCCAAATTTCACCTGGAAATTGTGATGTACCAATGTTAAGTGGGATGATCCACACAATACTCCAGAAACATCCTTGCTCCATTTCTTACAGTAGAGGGGCACCTTGTTCTAGTCAATTAATGAGGATTCTCCATGGACCACCATTGAAGTGGCAAGGGTTTTTTGTGCTCCACTTGAGGGGGGTGAGGGGAATTCATTTAGGTGAGACCTGGAGAATGTGCCTGGATCCCATTGGTCTCTCTGTCTAGAAAGATTTTTTACTGGAGAAAGTGCAATGGATGACCAAAAACCTTATATTTAAAAGCACACAAACAATAGCCAAGAACATGCACAACTCTGGTGCTGGTTTTTAACACGATAGTACATGAAATGTGTACAGTCTGGATCAGAAATAAATGTTATGTAGAATTAGCATGAATGAAACTCCAGTGGTCTTGCAGAATATACCATTTCCCATCGGGCACTAATTGATCCAGAGCAGATGGTATGAGCACTTTCCATTATCCCGACTCAATGCAGATTTCACGTAAGCATACCCTGGGAGGTAGCACTAGCTGTCTAGATCCAAAAGTAGAATACAGGTGAGGAAGGAATAAGTAAATAATTCACGCATCTGTTAGATGTACAGGGTCAATTGAAGTATGGCAATTGGTGGAAGTCTGTATCCAGATGGTGAAGATGGTTGGAGGAATGTTTGTGGAGTAGTCCAAAATGATAGCCTGGAGAATCTCTTCAATCAGTTAATTATGAAATGATGATAAGATGTGAGTGAATATGTAAGATGATGAGTCTGGTGAAAGAATACTTGAAATAGTCCTCGACTATCCACCCCAAGGAAGAATAAATAATCCAGAGAAATTGCAGATCCATCTGGTAAGAGTGAAGGGAGAAAGGCTTCCAGTATAAGAGGGGTCCCAAGGAAATAAAGGATGATGTCAGGAACCCTTGTAAATGGAGAGATAACAAACTGCCCAGACCTGACACAGGAGTTTGTTCTGGGTCAGATCATCTATAAAGAACAAGCAGTTGGGGTAGAGAAGAATGTACAAGCGGTGGAAAAAGTGTCTGGGGGAGTCAATAGCATATATGTCAGAACAATGATGACCACATACATGAAGGAGAAGGAAATAAGTTTTGAGAGAGAGGTAACAGAGAGAGCAAGTAGCTAGGGTTCAAAAGAGTCAAGAGTGAGGAAATGAAGAATGACATTTAAGTCACAGTGAGGTAATGGAGTGGTAATAGAGGGTCTATGCAAGAGGAAAGTTTGTTTGTTTGTTTAGAATTTCGTGCAAAGCTACACGAGGGCTATCTGTACTAGTCCTCCCTAATTTAACAGTGTAAGACTAGAGGGAAGGCAGTTAGTTATCATCACCCACTGCCAATTCTTGAGCTACTCTTTTAACAATAAATAGTGGGATTAACCATTACATTATAATGCCCCCATGGTTGAAAGGATGAGCATGTTTGATGGGATGGGGATTTGAACCCACGACCCTCAGTTTGCCCTAATCACCTGGCCATGCCGGTCCCACATGAGGGAGGAATGGAAAAATAGTGGTAAGGATAGGGGAGAAAAAAAACATTGTGGAATTGGGAAAAGCAGAATGTAATGCAATAGTAGAAACAGACAAGCTACAGTCAAACAGCCAAGTAAAGGAGGAGGTGAGGTAAGGTAGGTTGGTCAGGATGTGGAGGAAATGATAAAGAAGGAGAGATCAATGGCAATAAGTTCACCATTACTGTTGGTACACAGAAGAAGTGGAAGAATAGCAGGAGTGGAAGAGAAAGAAAGCTACACATTTGGAAAGTCTAGCTCAATGGGCAATGGACCAGACAAATCCCACACAGGAAGAAGAAGGGATGATGTGATGGAAAAAGAGACATGTGAGGTTGTAGAAGAAGGGATGAAACAGCAGGAAGTGGAAGAATGCCTTGGATGAGAGTAAATGTAGAAGAGGAAACCAAGGCTGGGCAGGCCAGTAGAAGGAGACCAACATTACTGAGTAATGGGTTTCCTAAATCAGAGTGAGAACAAGTGTACGAAGGTGGAGAGAAAGATAAGCATAAAGGAAGAGATAAGATCAGTCCTGACTGAGAGCATCTACTGCCAGGGTTGATGGGAGAGGAAGAGGAGACCAAAATAGAGGTAGTTTGGTATTGAGAAGTGAGACAAATGCATCTATTTGAGGAATAATATATTGAGAACAAACTCAATGGAAATTCTGAAGGTTAAAGGACCATTCCATGGGTAGGATGCAGTTCCATCAAGAAAGATAGTCTGCTGTGATGTTCAGAGCACTCAGAACTTGGAAGGCAATTAAGCTCACCTGGTTGGAATGGGCCCAATAGAGAAGGTCTAATGTCTGAAAGTAGAGGGTTCTGGAATGGGTTTCCTTCTATGGTTTTGTGAGATGCTACCCTGGAATCATCCGAGTGGACCATGAATAATGATAAATGATCCACCAGGAGGAGAAGAAATTGGGAGCATCCTCACTGGACTGCAACCAGTTCCAGGATGTTGATGTGGAGAGGTCCAGTACCTAATATGAGAGAGGCAAGATCCTCCAGAAGATGGATAGGAAGGAGGACCCGTGAGGACAGTGATCCCTGGAGAGTATGCATATGTGCAAGGCCAAGTGGAGTGTGATGTTCCAGAGAAGCCATAGTCCCCAAAAGAGATGGAACTTCCCCCACAGAAGGGAAAGGAGAGATGCAGAATTTGGTGCCTAGACTCTTGAGGTCTTGTAAACAGAGAGGAGAAGGTTGAGCATGACTGAGATAAAAGTTGAAAAGTATCTTGAGGTGAATAAGATATTGTGTCAGGGTTAGGAAGGATTTGGAATTCTTGAAGAGCCATCCCAAAAGAGTGGCTCTGTGAAGAAGAAGGGAAGTTTGACCCAAGGATTCTTCTGAAAATGGGAGAGGAGAAACCAGTCATCCAAGTAGAAGTGAATCAAGAGTCCCAAACAGTGTAAATGATGACCAAAATCTCTCATAATGCAACTTAAAATAAATGGAACTAATGCTATTACAAATGGAAGAGCATGGATTTAAAAGACTTGGTCTCTGTGGAGAAACCTGAAGTAATGTCATGAGACAGGACCCATGAGAACATGGAGAAAGGTATCCGACACATGTACTCTGGCCATCTATAAGCCTTGTTGGAAAGACCAGTGGAGAGAGAAGTAACTCTCAATCCAAAAGTGAAAGATAACCACAAAATGACAGATAGAGGATAGGTCAGTCTTTCTGGAGACAAAGAAGGGGCAAGAGTAATAACCTGGAAAAGAGGTGTGAACTTACTCTATGGCTTGCTTCTCTAACAGGTCTAGTAAACTGCCCCATCCAAACCATGAAGGTAGGATAGATCTGTAGAGTGATATTAGGGAAAACATTTGGGCCGAGTGTCCCCTGTAAATTCATCAGGGAAATGGTGGAGCACCTCTGTAATGAGGTGAAGAGAGGAAAGGTAACAAAATAGGGTAATGAGGAATGCATGAAGTTTGGAAAAACGGGCACAAAACAAGAACATGGCCGACAAAGAGTCCCAGATCATAAAAAAGGAGTTACATAGATAGAAATATCATAAGAGGGTAGAAAAACAAATTGTGAAGGAAAGGGCTGTGTAATAGAAAATGGGAAGCATCATAACTTACGAGGAGAGAAAAAAAAAGGTGCATACCTGAGTAACGAATTCATGAAAACCTGAAGAGGACTGAACAAGTTCTCCAGATGACATGGAGGTATTCAAAGCAAAGCTTGCAGACAGAAAATGTCACTCCATTTCCTCCTCCTCAACATCATTTTCAAAATCAGGTGAAGGGAAATGTGTGGTAGGAGCATCATGGACCCAACCACACATTGGTCGATGGCTGTTATGTGATCAATAGACAAGGAAATTCCAAAATTGTTGGTAAATTGGTCATTGTAAATGTTATTTTGACTCACTTCTGATGAAGAAGAATTCACAATTTATTGTGAATTCATACCGATACTGTGCCAAGAAAAAGAATGAGGATTTTCACATGCAAATGTAAAGGGAAGATTTGTACAAAGAGGTATGTCACACTCTTAATGGTGAAGGATTTAGCTACATGATATATCATCATGCAGTAGTGCAAGTTCACCATATTTTGCATGTGAATTTTAGGTGGGAGTTTTCACAAGGCTGGTGGCATGCAAGTCTCTCAGACAAACAGCATGACTTCAAGTGGAAAACAGACATCTGTTTATGGAGGTGAGTGATCATACCAGAAAAAACAATGTATATGTAAACATATATAATGCAAATGGTCTAGCCAGAATAGGGATCACTAAAAAATATTGGAAGAATTTACCAAGAACAAAATTGTGGATAATGAACAATTAAGATGGGAATCTGAATTCTATACAGCAAATATTCTTGTTTCATACAAGCATAAGCCATACACATTCAGCTTCATGTTCATAAACATTTAAATGGACATACAATAAATTTTAGCAATGTGATTATTAGTTTACTGATAAAAATATTCTTTTAAATGAAAGAAAAAACATTGTTTTGTCATTTAAAACAATATTATTTTTCATTAAAACTGTGTTAGACATCAGATTCACAACAAGCTTTACTAACCTCTGTTTAGTTTGGTTGATGTTTATGCACAAAGCTACATAATGGGTTATCTGTGCTCTGCATATTACAGACATTGAAACCTGAATTTTTATAATCCTGAAGACTCATGGCTCAGCCAGTGGAGGACAATTTTTTCTACATAATCAACTCCAGAAAAATAGTTAAAAAAAAATGTCTAGTGATTTTTGTCAACCTTCTCATTGACAAAATTAACACTGATGTAAAATGTGACTTTTTTTTATCAGTTGATCCATGGGGTATTCTACATGCTGTACTATAAAATTCTAATAACAAAAACAACTGCCAATAGCATTGTATTTATGGAACAGCAGCATTTTGACTAAAATAGCCTATGGATATAAAGCATTTGGTAAAAAAAAAAAGATTTTATAAAATTTAAAGTAAATAATATTATTATTTTATAACTTACAAAAAAAACTTCCTTTGAACAGTATCTTTGTGCTGTGTCTGCAAAATAACACATTTATTGTAAATCTTATGATAAATAAGCATAACAGATTTAAATTTACAGTAATTATAAGCAAACAACTAGGTTATCAGTGCATTTTATATCACTTTTTTCAGTATGCATATTCCAAAATATTTTTGTCACTGTTTGATGTAAATAAAAGCAAAATCCTAAAAGTTGTACCTTTCTTTTTTTGTGTGTTTTGTAAGATAATGAGGAGCAAGTAGATTTTTCTAGCATTTTATACTTTAGACCAGAAGGTTTTTTAAAAATTCCACACCATTTGTGCTTATACACATTACAGCCAATTTGGTATAAATGAACAAAACAACACTCAATGCGTTTTCTAAATATGTATGCCAGTTTTTTCTGTCCCTTCTGGATATAATTAGCACTTGTTTCATTTTATTATGTTTGAAACTAAGCATATTACTTCAAAAATTCACTGCTTTTCTTGTGTGTGTAATATCCTAATTAACTGTTCCAGTTCTAGTAGTGGTAACTTTTTCTAAGTAATTTTCAGGAATTTCACATTTATTTTGTTTATAACCAGGTATAAACGAGAGAAACGAAAAAGGTTTTCCATGAGAAAGCATTTAATACTCAAGATGTATTTTTGCAAGATAAAAGATATGTTCTAAAAATACTAAAATAAATCACTTTCTATAGATACACGTGTACAAATTAGTCAATCTTTCATCACATAATCATACCAACTTTAAACAATAAATTACCTCTCGCAGCAACTATACCAGCACCAATAAGCATAATAAAAAACTGCAGGGTATCTGTATATATCACAGCTGCTAGACCTCCTGAAAGTAAATGATTTAATTTTCTTAGAATTAAATACACCTGTAAAAAATTCTTTGAAAGTTAACATTTTCCTAAATTGAAAATGTATTTCCAATAACACTTACCTTCGCTGACACTATAGGTATTTCTCGATCTCCCTCTTTGCCCATCTAAGCACTGAGAATGCTTGCTTCAGTCTTTTATACCCCACTCGATTGCTTTAGGCAAATTCTAATTTGCAAATTTCTCCACCAACTCCAATGCACCCTTTACCTAGGTACTGTATATAAACACCTCATTCAGATTATGTAATCACTTTTTCGAGACAGAAACTAGCCTGTAGTGAGGAAGCAGGGCAGAGAGTGTCAGCAGAGGTGAGTATTATTGGAAATACATTTTCAGTTTAGGAAAATGTTAACTTCCAAACATACTTATCCTCTGCTGAAAATATAGCTAAAATCCAACATTGAGAAGGTGGAGAGGCCGGTGCAGGCAAGATCCACACAGAAAGCATATGTATAGAACAGGAGTGAACCAAGATAGAAATAAAAGGGTACAAAAGTGGGGGAACTGCGTTACCTCCAGAACAGGTATACTCTTCACCAGGAACTTAGTTCCTATATCAAAGGTGGAATAGAATATGAGTACACATCAGTATAGGCCAGCCCCAACCAGATAATTGAGGTTACACAGCTCGGGGTTGGAATTAAGGTACTAAAATCCCACGCATATCTCCATATTCCCATAGCAGCATCTTCCTGGTGGTTTTTCAGGTTTGTGCACAAGTATCAGGTACTACAGTTCCTGGTTCAACCTTTTGTTCTTGTATATATGTACACACACTTTTGATTTGACCCCAACCTGTAGCCATAGTGAGAAAGTGAGCAACACCTAAGTGGACAAACTTTCTCCTCCACTTGAAGAAGTCCAAATGACAATCCTCCAGGATAGGAATAATGGGATTGTGTATGCTGTATATGATTGAGGAAAATTCTCACCTCTGGTTAAAGCCTAACAGAAATGGTCAAAATAGTCACAAAGGGGTAGTCAAAAATCCTCAGAAGAGGAAACTGCCAAATCATGTAAGTAATGAGATTTAAATGTAGTAGGAGTAGTCCACATACCAGTCCGCACAATGTTTTCCAGTGGCCAGTTCAATCGAGTGGCTAATGACATAAAGATATGGTGAATCTGTCGAGATGTGACACACAAAGGATTCCTCTCCTGTACTGATAAACCATTATAGGCTATGTGAATCAATTTGCGAAGCCACCTTGTGAGGGTAATGGGAGATAAGTCAAGGTAAATAGAAGGATCCCAATGAAAGAACAATTGGTTCCTAGTACCACGAAACGAGTTAGTATGAGCTACATAACACCTGAGGGCCCTGACCGGACATAACAAACGATTGGGATCAGAGCGGTCAGGGCAGGCACATGGATTAGTGAGAAGGATCTGTACCCTTCCCTAGTTGCCAGAATCTTAGGAAGAAAAGACCTATTGGGGTAAAGCAGGACAAAAGTGGATTGCAAACAATTCACACCTACAATGTCCACAGAATAACAACAACAAAAAATACAACTTAAGAGAAAGGAGAAACAAAGAACACAAAACTAAGGGCTCAAAAGGAGAATCAGACAATGCATGTAAAAAAACTGTAAGATCCCAATTTGATAATTTAAAAGGTTGTTTGAGTCAAAGAATATGAAAGGAATTTTAGTAGACCTGAGGGAACTGGGGATTCAAAAACTTGCCGATATTTAGAATACCAAAAAATAGAGGATAAAGAAGTTCTATATAAAGCAACCATAGACGTAGCAAGACCCTTCTCAAATACCCAAGTGAGAAAGCAGGATATGATAGAGACTTTGGGATGAAGAGGGTTGAAATTCCTTGTCATACACCACTGATGATAAATACTCTATTTCTGTTGATAAATGATCATGAATGACCTACAGAGAGATTTAGTTAAATACAGAGCAACTTTAGAAGTTAAACTCTTATGTCGAGCAAAAAGATCCCATAACTTCCAAGCATGAAGATTGAGTTTCTGAACATATGGGTGGAGAATGTCTGCTCGAGGTTGTCTCAATAGATACTGACAATGTGGAAGAGGTAGAGGGGGACATTTCTGCAGATACTGAAGAAGCTGAAACCATGGTTGAGCTGGCAAAAAAAGGTGCAACTAAGAGAACCTGACAGGGAGTAGATCAAACCATCATCATAGCCCAGGGCAATAGCCAAATTGGGGCATACAGATATAGACCTGTCCAATCCTGACTGAACTCAGCCAACGCTTGATGATGAAGTATAGGAGACCAAAACAACTGCAGTCAAGAATTCCAATGAGTCACAAAAGCATTGATTGTTGGAGACCCAAACTGAGAGCAAATCTATTGAAAAACCTTGTGATGTAGCATCCATTCCGTTGGAAGAATCCGGATGGGTCAAGACAAGTGATCCACAATTAAATTCATCACTCCTGGAACATGACAAGCCAAGAGACTGATACGATGGGAATAAGCCCAGTAGAGCAGATCCAAGGTACGAAAACACAGGTCTCGAGAACGTGTGCCTCCTTGACAAGAAATCTGAGATATCACTGTGGAATTGTCAGTATGTATCATGACAATCATTCTCACCAAGAGAGACAGACCTTGAACCATCGCCCAATGTACTGCAAGAAGTTCAAGAATGTTGATATGGAGGGTAAACTCATTGCAGTCCAAAGACCCTGAAACTCCTGTCCATGAAGATAAGCTCCCCATCCCTGAAGAGATGTGTCTTTGAACAGATGGATCTTGGGATGAGGCGATGGAATGGGAACCTCAATAGCAGTGTTGATCCGATCCAACCACCATTCACAATCGATGACATTGTTCCTAAGTAAATTGACAGGATGATCCATTGGATTGGAATGCACGATCCATTGGTTGCGCAGTGACCATTGAAGGGACCTCATATATGCACGTCCCAAAGGAATGAGAGGCACATCCCCAAAAGAGAGAGAACATCCGTGCAGTAGAAGAAGGAGCACGACCTAATGGACAAGATATTGGGTTAGTGACAAAATATTTCTCCAATCCGATAAGAAAGCCTGCTTTCATGGCTTCCGAAAGTAGAATCTGAGAGTGTTGTTCTGCTAAATGACGGGATGAAGCCAGTCATCCATATGATAATGTGTGCACAGGCCCAAGGAATGCAGGTGATGAGAAAAAGCTCAAACAACTCTGCAAAAGACATAAGGACACACTCTATTGCCTTTTTTGACTAACAACTCTCGTATGGCCTGGGAACAAAGTTCCACTCACTGTGGATCTGTTGGAGGGGAAAAAGCAATGGGGTGAGCAGACAACGGTGGATGTGATGTGAAGTGAATGACCAACCTGTAAGCCAGAACATGGGGTACCCACAGGTCTCTGAGGAACGAACTCCAGATGTCCAGGAAGTGATGCAAATGTGCTCCCACTGCTCCCCCACCCCCAAGACAGCCACTGGCGCTGTTGTCATCAGTCCACCCAAATCGAAGACCTGTGAGAATATGGATGGACCCGATTATGGGAACCGAAGGAGGGGTTTGAGAAACACTATGGGCTGATACACCCAAAGCAGAGCCAGAAAGGCAAGAAGCCAATGATGATAAAGAAGAATGTAACTGGGCTGTATCAATGCCTCTGGAACTCCAGCAAATAACATGGGATGGAGAAAAGAAGCTTCACATAACTCCCTGTGGGTAGAAGACAGTAAACAAAACCTTTCTAACAAAGTGTCTCTACCAAATAACTCCCTACAACAAACTAGCCAGGAAACCAAAGAAAGAAGGGAGGAGGACAATTGGACTGAGGTAGACATCAGCAAATTCCTCAACTCGCCCTCAAAGTGCTGAGGAGAACATTAATATGCTTCAAACAAAAGTTGGAGAGAAGATAAATACCTCAGGGCAGTTGTGAGAGTAAGACGAATCTGAGAAAACTGTGATCTATTTAAGGTGATCACAGGTTCCAAACGAGACTCCCACAGGTCCAAAAGAGGGTCCATTCGTTGAGAATCTAAATAGGCCTCCTCTTGGTGGTGGTAAGCTAAAGCATGCTGATCCAATAAATGTGGGGAACAAGGCATAGCTATCTTGTTGCATAACTGAGCAGCAAATCTCTCAACATGAACAGCAATATCAGGAGGAGGAGGAAGAAGAACTAAGTAATCACTTGCCATTCTTTATGCTAACAAGGAAGGAGTAACAAACCCGAGTAACTAACTGAAGAAAAGGGGCTGGAGGTGGCTGATCAAAATGATCCTCTGTTGAGGCCAACCTGGTAAAAGAAGTAGCCGGAAAAAGTGAGTCTAAATTCTCGCCAGGGTCATTTGCAGGGTCATTTGCAAAAGCTGCCTCAGAACCCCCCAGAGAAACACCCTTGGTCCACACATATGTCTCCATCTCCCAACGAATCATATCATGGACAGCCTCAACCGAGAGTGACCCCTCCACTGGCTGTTGACAAACACTAGAGAGCAGAGGTGGACGAGAAGAGGCCCCATTGACTTCTGTAGTAAAAACATTCACTTGGGAATTCATACCATCGGTAAATTTTTTTTTAAAGTAATGTATATAAATATAAGAGAAAAGATAACCATTGAAACGACAACCACATAAAAAAATCAACGTAAAAACGCACAACACTCCTGGTGACAGAAACCCATACCCAATTCTTTGTTGAGAAAAAGTGATTACTTTATCTGAATGAGGTGCTTATATATAGTACCTAGACAGAGAGTGCATTGGAGTTGGTGGAGAAATTTGCAAATTAGAATTTGCCTAAGGAAATCGAGTGGTGTATAAAACACTGGAGTAAGCATTCTAAATGCTTAGATGGACAGAGGGAGATTGAGAAATAGCTAGTGTAGTGTCAGCAACGGGTAAGTATGTTTTGGAAATTTAATTTTACACAAACCATTAAACTTTTATATACAACTAGCAAAAGAAAAAAAACCAATAAATACATATATATATAAAAAAATTCTATAATGGTTGAAATATGACTAGCTCACAATGTTAATGTAAAAATTAAAAATGCACTGAAATTTTACACAAAGAAGTTTCTCGGTGAGTTATTCAAAAAAAGCTTTGCAGTAATCTTTTCCATTAAAACAAATTATATTCACAAAAAGAACATAGTGTTTAATTTATAGTGTTCAATCTTACCGCATAAGTCAGAATGTTAAAAACAGAATATTCTATATTATGTAAAACACATGTTGTACTTTGAAAGAAACAAACTGTTATTTCATTCTCCAAGTTGATAGCAAAATTTAAATTTTTCCTATATAATATGCGTGACAGTGTATTTAAAATCAATGGATAATGCACTATATATCATAAAGGATGAAGTTCCACTAGTGTAAATTTTAAATCAGGAAACTTATTGGGAAATGCACCAGTTTCACAGGGTTTAAATGTACATTTATGTCAAGTAACTAAAACAAAACGAAAAACAGTACTATTAAGTCCAAGAGGAGTTTAAGCCAATGGCAATGAACAAAAGTAACTTAAAATAAAATGATTTAAAATTTGTTTATACATATGTGTTTATAAACATATATACATTATTATAATTTCAAAGACTACACAACAGTTATGCTAATCATCTAAACAAAAGTGTAAAAACAGCATCTGAACTTCAAAACAAGTATGTTAACACACACACACTCACAGTGTTGGCCATAAGAAAAACCCTCAAATAAAGAAACAACAAATTGCAAATAACAACAAAGATTTCTTCATGGTTAAGCAGTACTTGCATAATCATTAGTTCAGTATAAAATTATAAATGTTCTACATCTAGACTTGATCAATCGTGTCTTCATGTCAAAAATGTCACATGAAATATAACAGTATTCTTAGTATTTTTACTGGAAAAGTCAACTCTGTATATTAATATATATTTCTATGTTTGTAATTAATTACAAAACCACCCCAAATATTTCAGTGTGACAAACATTCAAAGTTGCAAATTTATGTTTATTTTTGTTATCATCATCAGTAAAAATTTAGTATAATATTTAAGTGTCACACAGATGTTTTTATGTGTGTTATTCTTTAATTTTTTTTGTTTACTTCTTTACTCATCCTTTGATTTTGTCATATATAACCATGTTTTAGTTTTTTTATCGGTATTTACAATCAAAATTGTTCCTCAAAATTAACTTGGTGTAATTTAAGTATCCTTAATTTAAGTAAATATGTTATTTCTTTTATTTTAAAAGCATAATTTTCAAGCAAGTTATTTTACTTGTTTGGTGTTGAGCACCGAGCTACACAATGGGATATTTCTGCTCTGCCCACTGTAGGGATTACAATAAGGTTTTAGTGTTAGAAGACCTCAGACTTACTTCTGGGGCCACTATGCAGAAGAGGTTTTTTTTTTATTTTACTACATACTGACCTTGATATCTAGAGTAATTTCTTTTGCTTGTATGAATACATGTATTCATGGAATGAACATCTGATCTTTATAATATATAAATATATAGTCTATATGTATTATTATCAACCAAAATCAAACACTAATGATACCACTCAGAAACTGAATGAGCCAACAATCTCATCTTGTGATACAGTACTAGTTAATTATATTACATCAGTTGAAAACACAATAATAGAGAGAACATTTTCAATCAACTATATTTTCTTAAAAAAGTGATAAAAATGTTTTAATATTACCTTCTTGTGGCTAGCAATAGTAACATGTTTTATTATAAAACATTAGAACTATCCATATATACATGCATAATAATATACCAAACGCAGTTTATAAACATAAAAAACTTGTACAACTCTGAAGAAATATTATCCGAGATGGATTTTGATCAACCTGTTTTAGAAACATAGGTGCTCAGGAAAGAATCATGTTAAGTCCAGTCATCTAACATGTGTACTTAGAGCAAAAGAGAAAACAACTAACAACTTAAAAAAAAATAAACTATGACTAATTAAATATAAGTTATGTTATATATATATATATACTTTCTTATTTACAGTCAAAAATAAAAAACAATGCATGATTCATTCCCTCTATAGTTGACTGGATGTCAGATCATTATTATCTATAGCTATGTAACTATTGTTATAATAATTCCCTCATAAAGGAGAACCAGTAGAGGGAAATGAACATTAAAGACAAGACAGTAAAGCTAAGTTTGGCTATTCATCACTGATAATCACTTTGAAAATTTGATTTTCTTCACAATCTCTTATACCTTACACAGTAATAAACATTAAATACAACATAATACAATAAAAATATTTTAACCCTATCGCCATGGGCATCCTTTACTGCACATGACACAAGGTTTTAGTGACTTTCATTCAAAATTTTATTAATCTACTTTTTGTTTATGTTATACCAATTAGTTTAGCATAAAATATTAGGTAACAATCCATATTTTAATAGTATATAAGTTTTAAGTTCTTAATTTTATAAGGCAACATTTAAAAAAATCCTGAATTTCCCCTAGTGTGACACTTTCTCTAGGCATGTCCTCTTCTCTATTTAATCCACCACCCATCCAATAAGTATGAAACTAAAGGTAAATTACTCACTGTAAAATCGATATTGCTCAGATAAACCATACTTTTTATAGCCATCAGAGCTATCAAATAGAAAATCATACCCCTCTTGCCACACCCAACTGTCACAATGTCTCTTTCAGAATTTGTTAAAAGTTCTCTCTTAAGTAAAATTCTTTATTATCCATAACAATCATAACAATAGAGAGCCAAGGTTTTCATTTATAAAATGACATATTGTATAACGTTGTTTTTTGGACAGAGAATTGTCAATTTCATTGTTGGTAGAAGCTTTGTTCCCACTGGAAAAATAACGACTAGCTTGGATGAGTTTGTAATGGCTCTTGTTGCATAATTAGAAAGCCAAAAAAATATTTATAGTTAGGGAAAATTGTTTACTTTTTGCATGTTATTAGCCTATGTTCTTTGGTGCATTATTTAATTAAATAAGAATTACTTAGTGCACTACTACTATTAGTATAAAAAAGTAGGCTTAACTGTCATCGAAAATCAACAACAAAAAAAGAAAAGAAAAATAAAATTCAGGTAAGTACTTTATTTCTTGTTTTTCATGTGTATTCTTTATTTATTATTATAAAAGTAACTAAAATTTAAAAATAGGGATCTCTTTAGGTTTGTTAAGATTAGATTAGGTAAAATTAATAATAATAATATAATAAAAATGTTTCATGAGGCATGCACATGAGCAGCTCAAGGGTAATGTAATTCGATAGTGTAACGTGAGCTGCACCTTCCCCAAATGATTTACAATTTATAATGGCACAGACAGTAGTTATTCATGGTTCAAAGTGCAATCAAGGGGCAATAAAACAATAAAATTTAATTATAAATAGATATATACTGTTAAGAGCTTAAAGTTACTTAGGATAAATGAATGTAGTTTCATGTTGCAATTTGAAGTCATTCTAGAAAGAAAAAAATATTTTGATATATTTTGATTTTTTTTGGTGGTTATGAGGTCGGTCAAATTGACCAACCCATACAGAGATAGGGTATGAAAAATAATAGATAAAATGTTTGAAATGTATTTAGGAGGTTGTAGGGATTACACAAAGGAAATTTGAGATTCTTGAATAAAGAAAAGTATTTTTAATCTTAACATGAAAATCACTTTGCACACAGACTATTCAAAACAAATACTCAATATATTCATGGACAAATCTTTATTTTAGTTTATTAAAAATACTTCACTAAAAATATGATTTTTTGTATGTGAAAGACTTATAATGTTAACTGAAAGACTGCCAAATTTTGTGAACAATTAAAAGTTAGTAGTATTAAATCTATAAAGACTTTAAATGAGTACAAAGAGATCACATGGTCGGTCAAATCGACCAAGCACATGTTGAGAGAGTTAATATAATTAAAGTTTTAGAGTTAAAACAAAAACTAATTGAGAAGGAGAGAAAAAGCCATTTCATATGAAATAATAAAGATAATCAAATTGCAAAAATACATATAAAAATATTTTCTTTTCTAGTATAAAATACAAAAACAAAGTTAACATGCAATAAATTTTATAAATTGTTTGTATAATTAATAACCCAAGTATCTAAAAACTGTTTGTGTGTTTGCAAGCATACACAAATATTAAGTGGAACAACTACCTGACACAGTGCAGATTGATGTCATCAGCAATATCAGAAATACAGAGAGATACAAGTTCCACTTGAGGGCTTGCTGAATAAAAACTGCACCAGAATAGAGATTTACCTTCAAATATTAATAATACAAGTCAGTGAAGATGGTTTCATAAATTATAAAACACTATGCAGGTAGTTCAAAACAACAACCAGTGTTTGTGTGTTCCCTAAGTAAAGTATACTATACTGTTTATTAATACTTTTTATTTTGTCTTATTGTTTATCATTATACTTTTATTATAAAGTCTGTTTTGCAATGTTAGCTTAAAATATCTATCTAAAACAACCTAAATTTCCTAAGCAGGTCAGATTTCATGAGATATTATTGGAATTACAGCTGAAAACATTGTTAACAGGGAGTATCCAACTGATAACCATGCATTCTAATCTTTATACATAGAAACATAAGAGAAGTATATTTATCAGCTATATTAGTGGTCAGGTTGATTTTTAGTTTTGCCCTAATAATATAGCTTATTCTGATTGGAAGTTAACATTAATTAGCAGCAATCATGGTATTCACTTATATAAGGACTTTTGATAAACTTCTAATATCTGGCAATATACTATAAGTTTTTATCATATACTGATGCTACTGTGGTTAGTGACCTGAAAAAAGACTGAGTATAAAGTGCTATGCTCTGTTCACTTCCAAAGCCCAACTAAAATTTGAACTTTCACAAAAAAATTTAAAGAATCATCTAACAATAAAATATCTTATATTTTATACCATAAGAATATGAAAACTGATAATAATGTGGTTCAAATCTTTAATTTATTTACAAATGTATTTTAATTTCACTTTAATATGTAACATTCAAAGTCATATTTGAAACAAAAAGGCTAATTTACTTTAATTTTCTCCTTTAAAATGACACATTAAAAAGATTAATAAAAATTGTATGAAGTTCATTAACACACAAAGAAACAATCACAAATTTTGGAATACAGGCAACAAATAGTGGGTGTATCAAGTGTGGTAGGGTTTTTAAAATAATATTATTTTGATATTTAAAAAGTAAATAAGAACAAATCTAGATATATTATGATTTAGCTTTTGACATTTAAAAAGTTGTCACAACAAATGTTTGTAATCTATTGCTTAATATATAAACTTATGGATCTAATTCTGTATAATGTAAAGTATATTTTTGAAATTTATGTAGTGATTTGAAATGCAAAAATTGGAACAATCTTATGTTAACCCCACCATCATTACCAAAGCTGTTGTACTGGAAACCAAAGAATTACTTTTTAACAACCTTTATTGTTGAACTTATAAAGAAATCATGAGATAGAATAGGAAAACGGTACTAAATTTATCAAAATATGCTTGCTGTGTGCATTTTATATATCCCATATGAGAGTCTAAGAACAACTGATCTTTTACTAAACTGCAGGTTGTGATAAACTATGACTCTTGCAGCTGCACTTTGGACTTAAAAAAAAAGTATGAAAGGCAATAGACTATAAATTGGTGCTACCTCTTTAGATTATTATGATTTAAATCATACAAATAAAAAATAAATTATTTAAAAACAAACTTGCCCAATCTTTACCTACAGTTTTACAAATTAAATCTTATTATTGTAAATATAAACATAACAATAAAAACAAATAGATAATCAAATCACTATGGGTATTCATAAAATTCCGCAAGATATTAAATCAGGGTTCATACACCTAAGTCAGACTCAAATTCCATGACTTTTTTAAAACTTTCCAAAGCCCTTATTTGGTATCTTCCATAACCATAATATATGAGAAAAAATCTGCCAATAAGATGATATAAACTAAAAAAACAACTTTATTTCTTTAACTCATCATGATGTTTTCTATAGCACAATGATCATACACAATTCTACCCAAGTTTGGACCTTTCTTTCACTCTTTCAATCTCTACATCTAACTCCTCAATCCCATGTTGCTTAAATTTTGCCAACTTTTTGAAGTTGTTTGACTTGCTGAGATCAGGCAAATTTCCTTGTTTCTCAACTTTTTCAGCAAGATCATCAGCAAGGGAACAACAAAAGTGTAGAACTGTCATCAGGTAACCTTTTTTGTTTATGACCAACATTATCTATTTGTTTTAAAACCAGCTTTCTTTTTTCCCCATCACCTTACTCACAACCTTTCTCTTTTTCTAATCTTTAAGATATAACATATATTTTTGTCTGCCACTTTAAACAGTCTAGAGAAGTGGCTTTAATACTGGCACTTCCAGAAGTCTACCAACAGCCTGGATGCGATCATACACTACCCTCTGAGCAACAATCGAGTTCACTCTCATGTTTTCTACAAGTTCTTTATTAATTGAAAACCCTCTCTTGAAAGGAGCTTGCCCATATGATAAAACCAATATTTTTTGTCAGTTCCCAGAGATCTTTGAAATGATTAAAGTGACTCACACTTCATCAGTAATGAATCTAGGACAGTTAACATCATGTCAAAACCTTTGAATTCTTGTAGATTTGGCTTGACAACCTCCTGAAGGAAAGTGTCCAACTGGCAAATCCCATTGCCACAACATTTTTTTCTTATGCTAACCAGAGATGATATTACTCTGTTAAGGCACTTCCTATAGTCCTCTAGAACATTTGCCATATTATAAAGAGAGAGACAAGTAATGTTTTGAGTGAGAGAGTAATTCAATGGATGTTTGTCAAACAGCTTCACAATTTCTTTTATCATTATCTTGCAAGTATTCATTCAAAATTCCATTTCTTTATGCTGCAATATTTCTCCATAGCTATTAATTCTTTGAGTATATTATTAGCAGAGAACACTACATCAATATGCCTAGCACATTTCTGAACATTAGCTTTTGAAACATCAATTTTCAATAGTGCCGACACACAGTCTGCCTTACGGAGAACATCACTATCTATACACCTTCTCATTAGGTACATCAGGAGTTTTTCAAGATCACCACTTAAGAATGGTAACACTGGCTTATCTGTTTGGTATTCTGTCAGAAAAGGAGTAAATCCTTTTGCAAATGACAACAAAGAATAACAGCTTTGGAATGGTAAGTGGGCTTTAGATACTTGCTTTAATAATTAAAAAGGACAGAATTTTTTTTGCAATCATCTCTACATACAACTTTCAGTGGAGTATACCACGATTTGCCACTGGGACATTTTCTACCCAATGTGTTGGACAATGTTTCAAGGGGGTACACACCTTCACATTAGTGATCTCCTCATAGTTATCTCTCCTAGCTGGTGTATCTTTAAAAGAGTGCATATAGAGATTCCAATAATCCTCCAATATCCCAATCTACACTACTAAAGCAAGATTGAAAGGCATCATTGATAATAGGCAGACTGCAATTCCAAATATTAACAGATGATGGATCAAAATCAACACTTTTTGTCTCTGACAAAAATTCCCAATTAACATTTGGACTAAGTTGATGCATCCGTTTAAGATCTAGTTCTTCGATCAAGTCCATGAAATGTTTCAGAATATCATCAACAGTAGCATGCATTATGATCGTGGAATTAAATTACCTTGTAGTCACTTGTTGTGTAACTTCAAAGTACCTCAAATAAATGTCAAATTTTTATTTTGAGTTTTTTGTTAAAGGACTCAAACAAGAGCACATAGTTTTCTATCACTTTAATTTTATAGGTAAGTTCTCTTTGAAAGTAAAGGCTCAGTCCAAACCAAATGAGGTAAGCAGCCTTCTTTTCTCCACAAGTGAAATGTTTAGTAACATTGCTGTCAGAGAACATTTTTTTGAAACAGGCCATCAATTTTCTCACAACTTTTGCAGGAATAACTTGATTTGACAGTTTTCGTGGCCCACAATACTTCATCTCTCCAGTGATCACCTCTGCACATCATATCATTTAGCTTTCCTTCTAAGTGTATAAGTAATGAGCTAACAAGCTAAAAAATAATAATAGTTTTGTAAAGCCACGAAATAGATAAATTTTAATAAAATAGGGTAGACATAAAAGCCTTGTATACATTAATCAACATTTGTTAAATTACAAATAAATAGCTTTGCCATTAGAACATAGAAGCAGGTGATAGCCCATAAAATCACCATTGTACTCTGCAGTTGTTTACTTTCCGGTTCACATTGTTTGGCCTTGATCTAATATTTCTGCCTGTTAGTAGTGATCTAAAGAACTTCTGAGAAGTTAGACAGGTCTTAAAACTGTATAAAACATTAATATTACTTGAAGTGTCATACCCTTCTGCTGTACCAGCATTACTGCTGTATTGAGCTTGTTGTTAAGTTAAGCCTAAATAAAATAGCTAAAACTGGTGTCATTGATGTTTCTGATCACTTTCTAAACACTGACAGAACATATTGTTTGCCATGCAGATGATTTAGTAGAGCTGCCTCACCCATATTCCATAAAACTGTATGAAACATTAATATTACCTGAAGTGTCATACCCTTCTGCTGTACCAGCATTACTGCTGTATTGAGCTTGTTGTTAAGTTAAGCCTAAATAAAATAGCTAAAACTGGTGTCATTGACGTTTCTGATTACTTTCTAAACACTGACAGAACATATTGTTTGCCATGCAGATGACTTAGTACAGCTGCCTCACCCATGTTCCCAATGTCGAATGTTTTAGAACATACGGTACAATGAGCTCTGTTACTTACATGTTATACATGAAGCTTCATGTTCAATTGACAAACATGTTATGGTAAATGTTTTATTTAAAAAGTTTCAACAAGAAATCATATATTTCAAACTTTTATAGCTATGAAATATTTCATACAATTTTTACAACCTATGAAAAAAAAAGCATTTATTAGAATAAATTTCAATTTTTGACCTTTACAGATATCCTACTTTTCTTTCTTGATGTATAGGTATTTTACAATAAAAAATTATAGACTTATTTCTTTTGTTTTGGATTATTTTTAAAATCAAGTCTAACTTTGTATAATAACATAATAAGACTAAACAGAATACTCTAGTAAGATAAAACAGAATCTTAAAAAACAAAACTTCTTCACTTACTGATATCTTAGTGAAGATGTACAAGATAAGAGACAAAACCGCAAGGAAAGTTCGAATCCTTTGTCCACCAAATCTTTTAGACATAAATTCAGGCAATGTACATACCTAAGATAAAGATAAAACAGTAGAAAACACTAAGTTTTGATTTAAAATTTAACTGTACATTATCTTAATTTATTAAAAAGTTTTATTTTCTAAAATGATAGGATAATTTCTAATATGCATGAAATACAATCTTTTCTTCACATGCAATATGGTAAACATCTTTGTTTGCACAAGAATTTCCATTCATAGTTATACTAAGGGATATTTGAGCATAGCTATCCCTAATTTTGAGTTGATAGACGAGAGTAAAGGCAGCTAGACAACAGCATCCACAAGCAACTCTTGGGTCACTTTTACCTGGACAATTAGAAAGATTTGATCATCATTTTTATAGCGTCCCCATGGTCCCAAAAAGCACAGCATATTTTTGTGGCAAGAGCATGTAAATCACAACTCCTAGGATTCACAATTCAGGACCCTAAGCACTAGGCCTCACCCCCATAGTCCCTTATGTGCAGTAGTCCAGTCCCTCTTAGTTATGACTGACCTATCTGCCATGATAAAAAATTGTATCTGACAGGAAGTTGTTATTAAAAGGATCAATAACCAGATTATGAATGAATGTAGTTCAAGATGTGCAAGTTGCTATTCCTAGGGGTTGAGCATAATGGTTCATATACTGTATAGGTGGCCAGATAACATAGCAAATTGGTACACTGTATAATAATAGCTATGATGGATAACAGTTCAATAAAGATAACTTAAAATTGTTTTATTTGTTTATGTAAAATAATTCATTCATTCATTGCATTTATTTCATAAACATCCATGTATCACATTTTTATTAATAAATATAAAATATTACAAACTGACACAAAATTTAAAATAACATAACTCATTTAACTGAATTTACTATATTCACACAACTTTAAAAAAAATACTATTTTAGATCATACCCGAGATGCAAGGAAAACAGGTAGGAATATCCACCCTGTGAACTGCAGAATAATAAGAGCCTGTAAAGAATAAAAACTCTGGTTTAGATGTTATTTTCTTTAAAAGTGAATTTCAGAGCAACACTGTCACATTTTCATGCCTAAACAAAAGTAGTCATTATCACTATTATAATGTTACAAAACTCAAATAGTTATGAATTTATTCTTAAAACATTAAATTTCTTACTTTGTTTTGATGTAAATAAAAAGTTTAACGTAAATGTAATCTACACAATATAATTGATGTGGCTGTTTAATTTCAATTGGTTCAATAAAATTATACAATGCTAGAAAACGTTTTCCTCTTTTATTACATAATTTTATGATGGTTAACTAAAAATGGAACTAATAAAAGAGCAAACATTCCATGAAACTTCAGACATGACACTTTACAAAGCCTTATTTCACACTTTCTGATGAAAATAAAAACAAAATCACAATATTTTTCAGATTTATCAAGCTTCTCTACTATTTCTTAATACTCTGTTTAGAGTACTTATATATTAATTAATTAACTATATATATATATATATATATATATATTTATATTCTTAGAAACATTAGGTTTGATTTTATGATTTATATGTTTTCTATATAATGTTTTGGGTAAAACTGACATCAAACTACCTTCAACTTTGTAAGTTATAAGGAATAGAGCTAAGATTTTAAAAGAGCCAGTTTCAAAAGTAAAATTAAATATTTTGCAATTGCATGCAGCATAAAAAAGTTACTGGTTTCTAAGCTCTCCAAAATTATACCTAAAGTTTGCAAATAAAATATTTGTAATACTTTACTCATTTTCTGGATTAAATTAAGTTTGTTTTTTTCATCAGAAGGTTTCTTAAATCCTAAAATAAATAAAACTTCAATATTTCAAATTGTTATCAATTTAGGTTTTACCTCTTTTCAGCCATTAATCTTTGGTATACCTTTTTATTTTCAAGTATGGAAAAAAAAACTTTCTCAATGTTGGTACAATTAGTAGAATTTTGAAATATGATTGCCTTCAGTCATACCCACACACCTGCATACATACTTTTCATTTTAGGTATTATACTTTTACTTACTATGAATGGCTAGGCACAATTCTGAATCATGCTTAATCCACATGTATGGATAAATTGTCCCAAGAAAAGTAAATCAAAACCAAAAATAATAATCAGATAGCATCTTTATCTTTATTTTATTTATTACTAGTAACCTAGCTAAATTTCTAAGGAACTTAGGTTTCTGGTGTTTTAACAGTGAAGTTATAAGAAAAACTTTATGAAAGAATTAATCAAAGTATCTTTTTTGATATTTTTAAGTGTTTAAAATGTAAAACTGTAAAAATTTCTATAAATATTAGTTTGCAGAACAAGGCTGGAAAAATTATGAAAATATGAATAATACTGATATTTGGAGTGACTAAGATGTATAAGTGTTGATATTTTTTTAATTCCATAAGGAATCAATGAAAGGAAATAAAAAATAAATGTAAGTCTATGATAGACTGTATAATTTGATTGAGTAGTGTTATTTCAACCCAATAATTGTCTGATCATAACATAGTAATTATACTTATAAGAAGAAGCCCAATTAAGGGAACATTAATTAAGAAACATACACCTTTCAAAAGCAATGGGTTAAAGGGTTTTGTATTTTTGTATTTAACTGATTTTTTTTAACCTACAGATTTTTGTAACATTATGTATTATTTTAATGTGCAGGTTGGGTTTAAATCATTTAATCTTACTTTAGGTAGTTACATAGAACATAAAAATACTAAATCCATGTTACTACGTTTTTTTACAGATAGAATCTTTCATTGTGTTTTTTAGAGATATTAAAAAAAAGAACTGAAACTTAAATGACCCAAAATTCTGAAACTTATAATTTTACTAAGTGATATTTACATTAATTTCAAATGCTCCAACTCCAATCCCAGCAGCTGCACCTGATCCAGCCAAACCAATAAAATGCTCACTCCCGATATTGCTGGCAAAAACTGATGCTCCTACCTAAGTTTGCAACAAAAGCTGTATAATCCGAAATTCTTTGAAAAATACATGTTCAAAATTAGTTATCTTAATGACACAGACAAGGAAAAAAATCTAAATATAGGTAAATATATCAAAAAGTAATGGCAAATAAAAATAATTTATGAATCGGCAAGAACTGGAGTTATGGTCTTCAAAAGTACATACATAAATACACGGTGATTAAAAAAAATGTTTACACTTATATGGGGTTTGTTGCAGATGATTAAAAAAGAAATAGTGGTCGTCCAAGAACAGGAAGGTCTCCTGCAACATTTGACCACTATCAGACATGCATAAATATTTGAGAGAGAGCAGGTTGAGACTGTATGAAACATAAGAAATAAAAAAATATAAACCCATACAAGTGTTAACATTATTTCAGATCTGTTTACACTTTGTTTAGTGCCTTGCAAAGATCTTGTTTATTACCTTGCAGATGGTGAACAAGTTATCTGTACAACGAATATTTTCCTTACAAGTGGTTTAATTAATATTGCAATGAAAAAAGCAATATCATCCAAGATCAAAATGTTAATACACAGTTTAAAAAAAATTAATATTTTATCTATGAGTTGTTCTGTTAGAGCAACTAATATCAAATAGTAATTAATAAGCATAATATTCTAAAATCCACCCAAAATAACAAGGAGAAACACAATTCAAAACTTTAAATACAGAAAGTATTAAATTTTCGGATACAATAGTTTCATTACACGGCTTATTCCTAAACTGTATAAGACTGAAAATATTATTTATAATAGTCAGTAATAAGTTTCATGTTATGTATCATCTTACTAGAAACTTTAAGTATAAAATAAAATAAAAGTTTAATTCATAACAATTGTACCAGAAGGTTGCTTCAGCCTGGTAACTTTGGAATTTCAAAGATACCAGAAGTTTCTCTGCAGTTTTCATAGTTATGAGAATAATCAAAATCTGGATAATTCAGGAAACAGGAAAAAATGTTCTGTGCTTATCTGAAAATCATTACCACCCTTTCATCAAAGTATCTCAGACTAAACTGTACAGATTTTTTAAAGCTTCTATATTCCACTTTTTAAACTGTAATAGATGTTGGAGCCTAATGTTAACATTTTCACACGTATGCTGTGGACTTAAATACAGATTTACAGTCTAAAAAAACATTTTTTATGAATACTACATATACATTGCAGCTTCTTTAAATTTCTGCACAAATTAGCTTCAGGTTAAAAGGAACCCTGTTCTTGATTTTTTTTAATTGAATTATATAAATGGAACTGTAAAAGTAATTTTCAAGCCAATTTACAAAAATAATTTGCTACATTTTATTAGAAAAAGCTTTCAATACAATGTGACCATACATATTTTAATATAAATGAAATCCTTCTTAGTGAACCTAGTTTTATTACATCATGTGGATGCATGTTGTCACTCATACGCTATATGAAATGTTCAGCAGCTCAGTCATTTTGTTGTTAAGCACAAAATTACGCAATGCTGTGCTCTGCCCATTGTAGTTATTATAAGCCCTCAGACTTACTGCTGAGCCATTGTATGTGTGTGTGCATAGGGGAGGGAAGATGAGTCAGAAATATTAATGTAAAAACTACAAAATAGCTTTCAGAAAGTTTCTTAACTGCAGAAACACATATTTGACAAAGTTCAATACATATATAGTTTTTCAATTGTACACAATTGTAATGAATATGTATATGTTGACTGATCATTATTACAATTCACTTAAGTATTAAACCACTTTAATCCAACATTTTTTTCTACAAATACCCCAATTATAACGGGATTTAAAAGTATCAGTTATATATATTTTATATAGATAACATTTGTTCATACAAGTTTTCACTTGAGAGGAAAATGTTTGTAAAAACTTAGTTTCTCGCCAACATGATAAGGCCAAACTAACACTGTTTATGTTATACAATTAGAATGTCTGCTACACAGAACATAGGTTAATGTATCCAGATAACAGTGATTTTTGTGGTCAGTATTTAATTCTAGAGAAATATCCCTCAAAGGTCCCTGATTAGGTATAATTTCAAGTGTAAAGGGAGCTTTTTGTGTTAGACTTAAAATTACAATGTACATATTGCCATGTACTTGTCATAACAGTGTTCAAGTGTCAGAAAGAATTCTAACAATTTCACCTTTATTCCTTACTGGCTTATTAATGTACTTCTTATATAAGTTTCATAACATGCTGAAGTGAATCTCCAAATTGTGTCATGTCACTAAGGATTAGCTGAGTGTAATAATTAAGGTAGCTATATTTGTTTTAAATCTTCTTCCCCCATTATTCTAATTTAGAATGCTTGGACTATATCAACTCATGAAGACAGATTTTACAGATATTTCAATATAGCACATTATCAGATTTAAACTTCATCTCCCCTCCTAATATAATGACCCAGATTTTGATTAAATACATGTTCACAAAAACGTAGGCTGTTTCTAGATTTGTTTGATATACGAGTTAAGAAAAGAGCACACATATATCATTTTCACATATAGGTCAAAAAAATAAACTGCAGAGCTACAACTTTCTCTTGAAAATAGTCACTTTTATCCAGGAAATAAAAAAATTCAAGCTCATTCTGCCAAGATTTATGATCTAACCTGTAGTTCACTCTGTACAGTGGTGAAAATTAAACTTTTTTCAGTTATCACTCAGTAGACATAAAACACACAGTTCAATGTTTCTCCATAGATTTTTGCCAACACATTTATGATAACTTGATTTTTTTCTAGTTAGTGAGGGTCAAAAAATGTTTTTCAGAATTACTGCAATGATATTAATGCAATTTTATAAAAAAGGGCATTTATAAGTTTGAGAAAACTGCAAGCACTCACCAAGAGTACATGTACATGACACAAACATAAAACAGCCAAAGTGTTAAATTTCCATTCATTTGTCTACCCTTATTTAAGTATGCAAACACACACACAAATACATACATTACAACACGTTTGGTACTTAAAATAAATCAAATGAAAACTACTTTTATTGATCAATAACCCATTGGTGTAAAAAGAATATATACTAAAATTCTTTAAAACTTAGAAATGTGGATATAATATACACACAGAGAAATGCAGCTAAATAAACTGTAAAACAGCACAAATAAAGCTATATGCAGTATACTAGTAATTGTTTCATAAAAATTTGCTCAATGATCCTTTCTGCATAATTTTAATATGAGCAGTAAAACTAGCAAATAAATTGTGTGTACAGAAATTAATTAAAGCATACTTTTCTCTTCACTGAAAACAGTCTTTTCTGTACTTTGATATCTTAACATCTAGCAAAAAGTGTGCAATTGAGCTATAAAGTACTCCACTTGTGACATTAACCCAGTTTTACTGAAATCCATTTATAAAAACCCTCAGTTTTCTTCCATGTAGCCACTTTTCTATTGAATGAGCAAACTTATCCCTTAAACCCATAGAAATAATTTTTAACAAGCCTCTTATGTACCAACTTGTCAGGTTTTTTTTGAAAATCCACACCCTTAAACTCATCTACATAAGCAGTAACCCCTTTAAAGAATCTCAAAAGATTAGTTAGGTATGATTTTTTCCCCAGTGAAACCATTTTGACTATCAAACAGAATTTCAAACTTTGTTAAATAACTTTACACAGCATCTTTTATTACACTTTCAAGAACTTTTCCCATCACTGATGCAAGATTAATAGGCTTATAATTACTGGGACAAGTTTTTTTTATTTTTTATTATGTTACTTGGAAAGAGGAGTAACATGAGCCAACTTCCAATCTTCTGGCACCTGTCCATTATTCAAGAACTTACAAAACATTGTAGAAAGTGGCTCACATATTCATTCTTTGAGCTCCTCCAAAACCCTTTGGGAAATATTATGCTGTCTAGGACCTTTCTCATTCTTTAAACTTACCAGTTGTTTTTCTTAAAAAGCATAGCAAGAGTGTTCATCCTGTTCACCCTTGTTTCCAACTAGTCACTGTTCAGGATGAGGAATGTTGCTTACATTTTCATTAGCAAAAATAGAAAAAAGCAGCATCTAATAACCTAGCCATCTCATAATCATAAGATACGAGTCTTCCCTTATCATCTCTAAAAGGCCCTATACCCATCCTAACATTGTGCTTTCCTTTAACCGTTCAGGATGAGGAATGTTGCTTACATTTTCATTAGCAAAAATAGAAAAAAGCAGCATCTAATAACCTACCCATCTCATAATCATAAGATATGAGCCTTCCCTTATCATCTCTAAAAGGCTCTATGCCCATCCTAACATTGTGCTTTCCTTTAACTGTTCAGGATGAGGAATGTTGCTTACATTTTCATTAGCAAAAATAGAAAAAAGCAGCATCTAATAACCTACCCATCTCATAATCATAAGATATGAGCCTTCCCTTATCATCTCTAAAAGGCCCTATACCCATCCTAACATTGTGCTTTCCTTTAATGTATTTGAAGAAATCCTTATTGTTAATTTTTACATTTTCAGCCAACTCTTGATTTCCTGATTTCTTTTTTGACTAATTCTATTATCTTCTAAGTCTTCTGTTATAACAGTCAATTTAAACTTCTTAAGTGTATGGTACTTTGATTTTATCTCTTAAGCCCTTTGCAAGCCAACCTGGTTTTTTACTTGTAGATACCTTTATTTTTCTATTAACTTTTTTAAACCCATAATTTTTGGCACATTCTGCTAGAATTATTTTCATGATGTCCTAATAATTATCACGATACGTTACAAAATTTCTGATCTATTTGTAAAAGGTGAATAATAACATAGTTGGGATTAGTTTTCAGCCGAAGAGACAAATTTATTAAATGATGTCACTGTCCGATGGGTAAATCAGGATATTTGGCTGGATGTTCACAGTGTCCATTCAGGTTTAAGGAGTTAAGGAATATACCTGTCGTAAATATGTAGAAGATTATTTTTGAGAATTTTCCGCATTTGATCAATGTGACCAATTAATTCAGCTGCCCAATTC